CCCCAAAACCCCAAAACCCCAAAACCCCTTAGATGAAAATATTTGAATTTCAATAGAGACTTTAATTCATAATTTGAAATTAAAATATATCATGAAGAACTGGGCAGACGCACTCCGCAAATTTAACGAAGGCAAACCCCATAAATCACCAGCTGAAAATGATAGAGAAGCTGACATTGAATTCCTTAAATTACTTGAGGAGGAGAAGCAGCTTGAAGAGGAAAAGAACCCAACATATAAAAACATCCCTAGGTTTTTCTATAAAAAGCCCAATAATGAGTAATCGCTGTACTATAGAGTAAGACAAGAAGCAAGAACCAGGTTTCTCTAAAATAAAACAGCTGAGGTACTCGATAAAGAAGACCTAGAATAGCTATGGTACTTATTGAAGGAGCACATTTCACTCCCCGAAGATAATACTGAGAGAATAAACTATGATCAATTCGTTTATGTATCCAGCTTGCTTCCTCCCAAATGCAGATAATTTTTCACTAGCTCAACGTTTTTGAAATTTGAGAGAGATGAATATGGAAGAATAGAAATAGTTCCCTTCTTCCATTATGTTGTCAGAAAAGTTAATCTATTCCAAACTAGAATTCAGATATCGCTCTATGATAGTTCGGGCTATGGGTATCTCAAAGAAAAAGATCTAGAGAATTATATTTTTGAGTTGATGCCTACATTCCCTCAACTTTAAAACCTTTAGGAGACCTTTTACCCCTTCTATGTTATCACAGCTGTGAGAAAATTCTTTTTTTTCCTTGATCCAAAGCGCACAGGAAAGATTCTAATTAAAGACATGCTGACTTCTCCCATCTTGGCTGAGCTTTATGAGTTAAGATAAGAATCACTAAACATGGATGATGCATTGTAAAATTGGTTCTCAGTTCAATCATCACTGAGAGTATATGATCAATACCTGAAACTTGATCAAGATAAGAATGGAATGCTCAAGAAATACGAATTAGCTAATTACTCTAAGGGCCTAACTAAGATCTTCATTGATAGAATCTTTGAAGAGTATTAGACCTTTGAGGGTGAAATGGATTACAAAACATTCCTAGATTTTGTTTTAGCAATGGAAAACAAGAAATCACCCCAAGCATTGTAATACTTCTGGAGAGTCCTAGATGTATTCCATAAGAATGCCATCGATACTTTCGTTATCAATATGTTCTTTAGAGCTGTGATCTAGAAATTAGAGACTAGAGTATAGACTGATTATAAGGTTGATGATTTGAAGGATGAGCTTTGGGATATGGCAAAGCCTCAACTACCCTATTGCATCACATTGCAAGATCTAATAAATTGTGGAGTCGGAGATATTATTGTATCTATGCTGACAGACGCAAAAGCTTTCTACGAGTATGATCAAAGAGAAACCGGTGAGACTGAAGACTTCGAAGATTGAGAATAAGAAAGACCAAGCCTATTAAATTCTTGATAAATACTACCTATCTTAATTGATACATACATATGAATTTAAGATTGGGATTGGATTATAATTTTATTAAGGTAAATTAAGAATTTAATCAACTATCGATTTGATGTTGTCTTATGGGGTTTTGGGGTTTTGGGGTTTTGGGG